TTTTCATCAGTTAGAAAATCTTTCTGTATTTTCTTTTTCTTGGCAATACTCTTCAAAATAAAAAGCAAGGGTTAAATTAATATATGTATGTCATCACCTATGATAAGCTAGATAAGACTTAAACTTAAGAAAAGGAATGAGTTTGCCAGGGGCAAAATAGTAGGTCCAATAGGAAATTGTGGCTTCTTTTTCCAAATTGATATATATATATATATATTAATTATATTTCAAGTAAATAGCCATTTCTGTTCAATGTTTCATATAAAACTGGCCATTGGTTTGTTTTGTCTAAGTTGTTATACACTAGTCATTTGGGGCCATTGAAACCTTACTTTTGTGTGTGAATTCATTGACCTATAATTGCTTACATCTACTTATTTATGTCTTGAATGGAAAGTTGTCTCATTGGCATTCATACCACATCTTATGTCTATATTGTACTTTTAAATACAGAATTGTAGGTTAAAAATTCAAAATGGTTTTGTAAAACATAGTATCTTTCCTACTTTCGTTGTTGTCTCTGTTTTAGTGTAATAGCAAAATGCACCTAAATTGCATATATATCATAATATCTGATAAATTTGTAAATCTTTTAAAAAAATAATTTCAGCTTATTGACAGGGGGTGGGGGTGACCCCAGGGTACTCCCCCTATATTGCATTTGATTTGTTTTATTGTCCCATACAAGAATATATATGGTTTAGGGGTGGAGATCTGGACCATTTTCAAATTATCAAACAGGAGGGGATGGGGGTGACCCCCAGGGACTCCCCCTATATTGCATTTGATTTGTTTTATTGTCCCATACAAGAATATATATGATTTCGGGGTGGGGATCTGGACCGTTTACAAGTTATCAAACAGGAGGGGGTGGGGGTGACACCCCGGGGGCTCCCCTATATTTCATTTGATTTGTTTTATTGTCCCATACAAGAATATATATGGTTTAGGGCTGGGAATCTCGACTGTTTCAAGTTATCATGCAGGAGGGGGTGGGGATGACCCCCCAGGACTCGCCCTATATTTCATTTGATTTGTTTTATTGACCCATACAAGAATATATATGGTTTAGGGGTGGGGATCTGGACCGTTTACAAATTATCAAACAGGAGGGGATGGGAGTGACCCCCGGGGACTCCGAAGAAGAAGAAGAAGAAGAAGAAGAAGAAGAAGAAGAAGAAGAAGAAGAAGAAGAAGAAATCGTTGTGTTTGCAAGCAAGACACATGTCGCCCAAAATGGAGTTTTGAAGACATATTGTTTTTCTTCTCATTGATATGCAGAGGACTATAATGGTTTTTTTACTTTTTGAAGACATATTGTTTTCTTCTCATTGATATACAGAGGACTATAATGATTTTTTCTGTTTATATGATCAAAAATCTAATAAAGTAAAAAAGTAAAAACTTCCTCCTATGGGCCTCCCAACTGTGGGCCTCTTGTTGGAAAATATCTGGCTCAATGCATCAATAGTTGAGTTACAAAATACAAACATTAAGCTACTATCATTTATGTATAAAACATTCATCTTTAATTTTTTGAAAATTTGAGAAAATTTTCCCTTTGGTGCCTTTTTACCCATTCAAGTGGGCCTCTGGTTGGAATAAATCAGGTTGGATACTTAACTGATCATGGCCCTCTTGTAAATTATAAAATAAAAAGCTTCTATTCCTATCATAGATAAAGCAGCATTGTAACAAATGTTTGAAAAATTTTGACCACACCCAACTTTGAGCCCCCTAATTATTCCAAGTTGAACCCACGGAACCTAAAAAGTGGACACTGCACCTCGGGGGTGGTTGACCCCTACCCATATGAAATATAAAGTTTCCATTCCTTACTGTATTCTCTAAACGTTGCGGAAAGTTTAAGGGTTAATAATAATAATAATAAGAAACGGGACAAAAACAATATGTCTCCAAAAAATAAAAAGCTTCTATTCCTATCATAGATAAAGCAGCATTGTAACAAATGTTTGAAAAATTTTGACCACACCCAACTTTGAGCCCCCTAATTATTCCAAGTTGAACCCACGGAACCTAAAAAGTGGACACTGCACCTCAGGGGTGGTTGACCCCTACCCATATGAAATATAAAGTTTCCATTCCTTACTGTATTCTTTAAACGTTGCGGAAAGTTTAAGGGTTAATAATAATAATAATAAGAAACGGGACAAAAACAATATGTCTCCAAAACTCCGTTTTGGACAACATAATAAGAACTGAGCAAAAACAATAAGTCTCCAAACTTTGTTTGGGAGACTTAATAAAAACATAGATTCAACATTTTGCTATGTTACAACTGATTCAGCACAGCATGCAATTTCTATATTAATTAAAATCTTATGTCAACCAATTAAGATTCTAACATACAGTAAATTTAGAATTTATTGCAATGTTTTTATTATTGCCAAAATGTGACATGGTTGTAATCACAATAATTCAAATGTGCATTTTGGATTATTCATATGAAAGAAGCGAAATTTTTCTCAGTATCACAAAAAAATGATTGCATTTTGGCCTAAAATGAAAAAAATCACTATAATAAATGCATGCAATAATTTCTGAATTTACAGTAGTCCTTCTTAACCTTCGACACTTTAGTTGTTTGTTGATTGACTCATAATGAATGTCCATGTACATACATTTTACTGTGAAAGTACATTAATTCAAGAGGTACCAATTTTAATGGTTTTCATGGGTGGCTCTATCATCAAATTAAAGGGTCCAGCAAAATAAAATAGCTGCTGTATAAAATTAAAGACATACAATGTACTATAACCTATACAAATGCCAAAGATGATTTTACGCATTTAATCTTCAAAAAACATTAACTGAACTGTATTTGTTTTTACAAATTCTACTTCTGGATACTATCTTATGATCATAAACAAGCTTCTTTCCAAATTCTGTAAAAATACAGGATGGTTTAAGAAGTTATTAAAATTTCAAAAACTTTGAACCACAGATCTAGAGTGAATGTAATTGAAAACGATGCCAACAGAATGGAGGATCACTATCTCCAGCTTTTGTAACAAAAGTTGCAGGCTCGACAAAAATATACAAATGATTTATATTGAGATTCATCCAATATCTTAACTACATATTCATTGCTTACACCAATGGAAGGCTCAGTTGTATCCTTACTTATTAATTTATAGTTATTTGAAGCCTCAATATAATTATTTTTCAAAATAAGCTTGTGTTTAGAAATATTTACAATCTGTCTTTTTCAGACTTGAATACTATCATAAACAAGCTTCTGTCCAAATTTGGTAAAAAAAAATATAGTTTAAGAAAGTTATTAAAATTTTAAAAACTTTAACCACAGAGTAAATGTAATGTTTCCTTGCAGAAAAACTAAGTCCATTTATAAGTAAAATACGGGAAAAAAACCTTTTTTTTTACTAAGTTTACTTCTGGATACTATCTTATAATCATAAACAAGCTTCGGTCCAAGTCTGGTACACATACCAAGATAGTTAAAGAAAGCTATTAACATTTGAAAAAACTTTAACAGAGTGAATGTAATGTTTCCTGGCAGAAAAACTAAGTTCATTTATAAGTAAAATATGGAAAAAATGGAATACTATCTAATAATCTGTCCAAGTTTGGTAGAAATCCAGGATACTTTAAGAAAGTTATTAAAATTTCAAAAATTTTAACCACAGAGTGAATATTTGTGGACCCTGCCCCCGCCGACGGAATGTAGGATCGCTACGACTTGTTTTTTCGACAAAAGTTGAAAGCTCGACAAAAAAGGACCAATGCAGAATCACTTGCCATGCATGAGTATTGATTCAAGAAAATTATTCTATAATGGTTTTATTCTCCCACTGATAGATTATTTAGGTGATAACTGTATTGTATTTTAAACTCCAACTGCATCCTTTGGGGGATTGAATGTCGCAAATTGAGTTTACAAGTTCCAAAAGCCATAACAGAGCTGTATAAAAAATCTTTTATATATTCAGGATCTATTTTATTTAATAACTTCTAACTATTCCTAATAAAAAAATCAACCTCAAGTACAAGCTCATTCAGAAAAGATTTAAAAAAAATACTTGTTGAAACATTAAGAAGCTGTGTAATTTTATATGACACACTAACTTATTTTAAAATATTGCTGAGATGATTTGAATGATGCCAATAATATATGAATTCATAATTTTACCTGTTTTGAAAATTGTATTTTTCACAGCAATTTCTCATTTGTTTTTCTTGTATGTATGTGTGTGTTTGTTTGATTATTTTGTAATTTGTTTGTTTGTTATATTTCATTGCATTTCATGAAGGCCTCAGGGACGATAAGTGTTATAGCTAACTGTGTAACCCCCTTTATATAAAAAAAATATTATTATTATTAGTAGTAGCTATATATCAGTAATTTTATAAGAATATTGTATTTAAACTTCAAATAATGATACAAATAGTTTGTAGACTTGCCGTTTCTTTTAAATACCAGACATTTCTTAGTCTGCTAAAATGTGTCTCTGAGTTTGCTACTGTAAACGCAAGGATAATTCTTTTATTCTATGGTAGTGACATTTAATAGCCACTTTTAAATCTAACTTTTTCGTAGCTTCAGTTTTTAAAATTATGATATTTGTCCTATAAAAATCAAAATAATTCATGAAAGCCATAAGTTTTGCTGGAGATTTACACATAACCAGGGCCATGATATTCAAATTTTATCCTGAGCATTCCATGAATTATTGCTTAAATAGTACTATTTTGTGAAAATACAGGGATGATCAACTATTGTTCCACAATAAACTTGGGAGGCTTGCAAACACTAGTTTTGGTCTTGAAGGTCAGATTATTCTTGATACTTTATGATATTAACATGATATAATTTATATGCAATGACACATCAAACAATTTCACAATTGCCACTAATAATTATATCCATTTGCCTTGTTTTAAATATTAATGTTACAATACTTTTTCCAGGTATATATTGACCCCTCTTTGAATCATTTCTTAACTATTAAAAAACTCACCAATTCTTTTCCTTAAATTCACAAACAGGGTTCTTGTTTCTTTTCATTTTGTCTACAAAATAAATATGACTTTTAAGTTTTAAGTGGTAGAAGGATGATGTCCAAGGTGATCTGTTCACATTTTCAATTTCATTATTGAATCCAAAATGGCAAAAACAATTCTACAGTTGACTATGACTTGACAACAGAGATTTAGGAAATAACTGTAATGTATTTTAAGTTTGACTTCCATAACATATACAAGTTGATTTAATATTTAATAAAACAAATCAATATATTCTGGTATATTTACTGTGGATTCATTATAATTAGTTTGATACTAATTTTCGTTGATTTCTTGGGTAATGGCAATCCCCAAATTCAAAGTCATATGAAACGAGTTGATGGAAAAAATTATGTTCCCTAAATTATTCATCCAATACATGCACACATACTAAACTAAGACCCTTGTAATATATTTTCACTTTTTATATGAGTCTGTAATGTGTAATTTACAAATAAAATATTGCGTTTGTTGATTTAATATGGAAACCATCTTTCCTAATTAATCTCCGTGACGAACTTGCGATGTATTCTGACACGTTTATATTGATAAACAATCGTCAAAAGCGTGCACTGAAAGCATGTGGTATATAAGTGTGACAATTGAGTTGTGTTGATTAATCCATTTTTAAATATTTTCTGTGCATTTTTGTTTGATAATAAACCTTATAAAACAGTTTTAAAACAAATCTATGTATAAATAGATTTCTTTCATCATCGATCAAAACATATTTCTTTCCAATGAGTTATTGTTTGTTTATTTTTTATTTAAATTCAATATTGTACTTGCGCAGAAACGGCTTCCATATTGTTTACGAGGAATATCATGCATAAGGAAAAGCATTCGGTAAATATCAGATTAATTACTCGCTGGAAGTAAATAATTCAGAAGCCGTACATTTCATGAAGTTTTACTATAAAACATAACAGTTTTCACTAAAACAAGTATATGGATACAAGTTTTATACTATAAACTAACTATTAAGTTTAAAAAACACGTTCAACTTTTTTTTTCAACAACTCGTTTCATATGACTTTCAAATGTCCAAAGGAGTATGAATTTTCAAGTCTTATATTGAAACTTTTGCAAAACATGGAAAATAAGTATCCATGAAAATTGGTACAAATGAAAATAAATGAATACACAGTACATCGTTTACAATTTTAGGATTTTGTCACTTTCAATACACATTTTCACTATTTGTTGGCCATTATTGGACATCATATTGGTGTTTTGCTTGAAAAATTGAACATTTTGTACGTTATGGTCGGGTTGTTATCTCGTTGACATATTCCCATTCCATTCTTATTTAATCATAAAATACCTGGTAGTAAGCTTACAGTTCACTCAATGTAGCATTTTTATTTGTATATATCAGTTATTTTCATCAGGCTTAATTTCTTTCTAGGTTTTCACATAATATTTTATCATTGAGGGTATTATGAGGTAAAAAACAAACCACATGTTCTTAACCCTTTCACAGCTGCCAATCCCCCCTGTAGTCGTGACGGCAAAGGGTACTTATAAAGTGAGAAACGGAATCGAATCGAAATGAAACGAAACAAAATATTACAGAACGCAACGAAATACAACGAAATGCAATGAAACGAAACAAAATATAGCGAAACGAAACGAAAAATGATGACACAAAATATAACGAAATGAAACGTAATAATACATGATTGTGTAAGGAAAAGGGTTCCAAGGACCGTTTGACCTTTCCCCCTTGCTAAAGAAAAAACACATTCAAAGCCAGGTCACAAAAAATACATACGATTTACAATGGGAACACTTTGGGATTTGTTTTCTATTCAAAGACACAGGCAAGTATCAGACCCATTTGTAAAATATGTAAAACAATATACAGGGATGGAAATTTACTATAATTGTGTAATCGTCTACATGGCAATTTGGGCTTTGCTCTTGGCTTAGACTAATAGTTAAGCATTTGGTAATAATCATTCTTCGAATAGAATATTTAAGATGAAAAGACATAATGCTCTTAATTGATGATAGTCTTGTTTTATTCAAGGCATTTTTTTGCGATAATTGATCTTAAATTTTGTAACGATTTTTTGGGGGTAAATTCCAGTGTTCATCTCTTAAGTTTGACATTTGAAATTGTTCGAAATGTACCCTACCACACTTCGTATTAGTGGTGGATCCAGATTTTTTCATAAAGGGGTGGGGGGTGCACTGACTGCATAAAAGGGGTCTGCTTCAGTGATTCTCTTTATAATCAACCAAATTTTTTCAACAAAAGGGGGAGGCCCGGCAACCCTAAATCTGCTTCTGTATTTAGTACCTCGAGTTTTTAAATTTTCCGACCTCTGTTGTAACTTTCAAAGTCAAATAAGCCCCAAAAATCGATATGCATTGCGTTTTATTTTTAAAAATGGCCAAATTATGGATGCTTTATTATAGACAGTCAATGTCGAGAATAAGTCCAGTCAATATTGCGGATGCATGAATTCAGATATTTTTCATGGACAAAGTCGTTATATAGAAGTAAGAGGGTAAATATACTTCAACAAGCGATATTCGATTTATTTCTTGACAATTTCTTAGTTGTTGCTATATCATCAGTGTCTTCTTTTTATAATTTATATTAAATAACTTGCAAAATGTATTGATTTCATTGATTGATTGATTGTTGGTTGTTTAACGTCCAGTGGCAAATATTTCATGCATATTCAGGACGAGAACAAATTAACAATAAATACAATAGGTAGGTTCTGTAATGTAGGTCATCGGGAAGAAGTTCGGGGAAATTTAGACTGCCACTGGGAAATGAGGGTAAATTGGATAGGGACAGCAATTTTGCCTTGCAACAGGTCACCTACGGACCCCTCAAAGAGTTGTTGCAAGGGTTCTTAACGTGCAGAGAGCGTGGCACTCTCTCTACACGAGGCATCGGATTTAACGTCCCCATTCTGACCGGACGTGGCTGCGTACTTGTACATCCCGCACAGCCAAACGGACGCCCCACTTTGGCAAGGGTTCTACTGCCGGTCGGAAGAAGACCTGTAGTGACCATATTTCTATTCCCCAGTCACCCTTGGGGATTATATAGATATAAGAAGATGTGGTATGTGTGTCAATGAGACAACTCTCAATGCAAGTCACAATTTATAAAAGTAAACCATTATAGGGCAAAAAACAGTCTTCAACACGGAGCCTTGGCTCACATGGAACAGCAAGCTATAAATGGCCCCAACAATCACTAGTATAAACCCATTCAAACGGGAAAACCAACGGTCTAATCTATATTAAAAACGAGAGACGAGAACCACATCAACAACCGACAACTTCATTGATTTCATTTCATTACGTTATATTTTGTTTCTTTATTTTTCATTTCGTTTCGTTATATTTCGTTGCGTTTCGTTGTATTTTGTTGCGTTCCCTTGTATTTTGTTGCGTTCCCTTGTATTTCGTTGCGTTTCATTTTATTCTGTTTGTTTCGTTTCGATTCTGTTTTTCACTTTATAAGTACCCGATGGCAAAAGCCATCCAAATATTATTTCAATTTTTTTTTTTAATTGTTTTCTTCATGAATTTACAGGTATCAACATATATTTATCTTGTGGCACAATAATCAAGCAAGTTTTAGCCAGGGGTTCAAGAACAAGTTCCACACTTAAATATTTTGAGGAAATATGTTTCTCTAAAATCAAGTTTTCTTTTATGTGATTTTGAAGTCCTTTTATATGAGGTTTTATATCTTGCATCTTAGATCTGTAAATGAAGTACTTTGTCAGTAAAATAACTTTATTTTTGATAAAATTCAATTAATAATTTCCATAGAGGCCAAAAATTACAGTATTCAAATTTGATGGAATTTTCGATATGAATCCAAGAATTTAGATTATTCCAAATGTAGGCTACAATATGACAACCCCAAGGTAAATGTTCTATAGTTTCTGGCTCTTCCTTGCAAAATGTACACATATTTCAATTAACATTCAATTATGGGCAATATGACCCTCAATACTTTTTCAGAACTGCCCCTGCTGAACTGTATTAATGAAGGGTTGTTAATATAATTGATTGATTGATTGATTGTTGTTTGCTTTACGCCGCATTAGCACAGAAAGGCTATATCGCGGCGAGAGCTAATTCGAATATTATAACAATTTAAGGTATATTTTTAAAATCAGACAAAAGGTCTTTCAATAAACTAAAATTCTAGACTAAAGCAAATTGATTATTTACAAATAAAAATCAACACTAAGATAACGTGATAAAAATTAAAATCGTTTTAAATATAACAACATTTTTATATTTTATAATATATTCCAATTTCTTTTAAGAATGAAACAATATTTGTAAATGGAATATTATTAAATAAATCATACATATTATTGACATTGAAATGCTTCTTCCGAATATCAGCAAAGTCAATACAATTGATTAAAACATGTTTAATAGTATACTTGCAGTTACAAGGTATACATTGTGGTTCTACTTCATTTTTTAAAAGATATTCGTGTGTTATTCTAGTATGACCAATACGACATCTAGAAATAACACACTGATCTTTTCTGCACATAAAATTATTGAAAGGTTTACATAAATTAGGTTTAATTTCATGTAATTTATTACCATCTTTTTTACTCCATTCATTTTTCAATATATTAAAAACATATTCTCTAATATTAGATTTAAAATCGGTATATGGTATATCACAGTTAGATAAAGGGTCACCCAGGGCATTCTTTGCCTCAAGGTCTACAGCTGTGTTTCCAAGGATTCCAACATGACTCGGCACCCATAGAAATAATATTTCTTTAAGAAGAATTTTTAAATTCCTCATTACATATAAAATTTTGAGAATTGTTGGGTTTTTAATTTTAGTATTTTGTATAGCTTGTAAGCATGAAAGTGAATCAGAACATATAATAAATTTGGATTTATCTGAAGAAGCAATAAATTTCAAAGCCAAAATTATTGCTTCTGCTTCAGCAGTAAAGATCGATGCTTCAGATGGCAAACGGAGAGTTGCAGCT